GTCTTCGAAGAAAATCTTTAATTTCTTAGCCTGTACATGCGAACTCCAAATAAACAATTTCAGCGACTTTGTAGCTCTGGCTACAAGACTATGTAGATAGGTGTTTGTGCTAACGTGCATGCATGATGGAAGAGGATAAACAAGTTGCGAAAGAGATTGTCAAGGGGTACACATATTCTCAAAAACTATATAGACAAAATCACTAAAAAAAACTAATTATTACAACGTTATCAAACAGTATCAAGTCAATTATATAAATGGAGCCATGTTGCTAATCAGTTAGTCAAGCTTACTTGGAAAAAGGGACCAATTATCAGTTCCCTATATCATGAGCCTTCATTATTTACTGTCAACTGTTATACGTCGAAGCTTGTCCTGGATACCTGGATACTTGTGTCTTGTATAAGAACTTTATAGAAATTAGAACTTAGATAGAAGCAGTTTACCTCTTTCTAGAAGTAGTTTACTTTCAAGGCCTCGTAAAAGGCACACGAAACAAACTTTTCGGCTTTCGGCCAGAAAAGAAAGCCAATAATAGTAACTAAAGGCAATGACACCGAAGGAGACAATGAACCTGGAGCTGTTCAAGCTCTTGAACTAGGAGATCTATCCAGTCACCAAATAGATCTTTGTTTTATGTCCGAGACGTGGCTACATGACCGTTTTGACAAGAACCTGGTCTCTCCACGTGGTTTTAATCTTATAACTAAAGACAGAAAAGAAAGGATTGGAGGTGGTCCTCAACTCGTCAAGAAACCAACTAGTGGCAGCATAATTCTGGATGTTTTCCTAACTAATGCACCACTAGACTTTGGATCTGTAAGATGCATAGCCTGATCGATTAACACTGATCACAAGTGTGTGGTGGTTCATCCCAAAAAAAAGACCAAAGCCACAAGAAAATGGGTTGAATTTCGGGATACTCGACCACACTGCAAACTAGCAATGATTGAGTTCCTGAAAGGAATTGACTGGAGGAGTGAGCTATTTGGAAGAGACTTAAACAATGCAGTTTCTCATTTTTATTCTGTAGTATGCCCTGCGATTGAAATCTGTTTCCCCATGAAAAGGGTTAAGATGTCATCGAATGATCCTGTATTTACCTCTTGTAAAGTATCTGTTAAAGAAAAGACAAAGGTTTTCCCCAGAAAGGTATGATTGTTGAAGCAAACTCACCTCTGCCAAGGATAAGTGAACTCATAATTGAAAATCAGATTAGATCAACTCCGTCAAAATCAAAAATGAGAAGCATGGATCCACTACTAAGCCTCATAGTCATTAACATATTGGGAATATTAACCTTTGTATCTCAAAGACCCAACATTCAAATGACGAA